CCACCTATAAAATGAGCATAGTAACCGTTTGCATAAGTAACTCATTATAAGCACTCAACACGTTAACAGTTGTCATAACTGTTGGCATTACCAATGGTATACCTGTCTTGCAAGGCTCTATAATAAGTCCTTTTGGTTTTGCGATCGTAGCATCCTTTATAGAGACCTACACACAATTCCTCGGGAAATATATTCAGCTCTGAGACCCCTTGCGTTTGTGTGTGCTGTGCCACTGCCTGGAATCCACCCCTGCCCCAGCTTTCCGCCCAGCAAACATCTATTCCTTCATCAAGATCCCACTCAAGGGTAACTCCCTTAATTACCCAGCCTTCTCCGCCCACTTGTCCAGCTGAGTGGCATGGCCTGTGAGAGTTCCAGCTCTCCTGGGTGGCAGCCACAGGAAAACCGCTGGGCATCACTGAGCAGTGTAAGGATGCTTGAGTGTCTCGCGGAACCCGAGGGCCTCGGAAATGGCCTGGAGCCCAGAGAAGGAGGGCTGCAGGAAGCACTTTCTTCTCTCTTTCTCTTGGGGAATCAGCTTCTACTTTCTCTCTAGCTGCAAACTGGCTGTTACCCGTCCACATGATAGACAGCAGCTGTCGCCCACCCTCCAAAGCCTACATCTAGAGAGCAGCCGGATGGAACTGAAATCTCCTGGTCCTACGTCCAAATTCCTCAGGAGAGGGGCTCATTGACCCACCTTCCGTTAGCTGCTCACTGACCCAGCCAGCCGGGGCGGGGCGTGGGGAGGAGCAGGGCTAGATGGTGCAAATACGGTGGTTCCTGCTGAATTGAGTTGAGGGGGGCAGTCTCTGAGAAGGGAAATTTGTGCAGGAATTTGAATACAAGCAAGAAGCCACCCTGTTGCCTACTTAGAGCCCTCTGCACATTCAAAAGGTGTGTCGCCTGCATGCTCTGATCCCAGCAGGGCCACTCACGCTTTCCTTCAAGGTATGTGTGTGTGTATATATATATATATATATATTTTTTGTTTTGTTTTGTTTTGTTTTGTTTTGCGTTACGCGGGCCTCTCACTGTTGTGGCCTCTCCCGTTGCGGAGCAACAGGCTCTGGATGCGCAGGCTCAGCAGCCATGGCTCACGGGCCCAGCCGCTCCGCGGCATGTGGGATCCTCCCGGACCGGGGCACGAACCCACGTCCCCTGCATTGGCAGGCGGACTCTCAACCACTGCGCCACCTGGGAAGCCCTCCTTCAAGGAATATTAGTTAAGGTTTTTAACTGAGCAAACTTAGCAAAAAACTTCTGAGAGCTAAAGCCAAGAGTGGGACTATACTGGGGCATCTCATAGAAAGAGTTGGTTGTTCAACTCTTTGCATGAGAGGACCCAGGAGAGCTCTGGGGATGTGGCCACAGGAGTTAGTGACCCTCCTCTCTAGATCTCTAGATCCTCTAGTTATTTCCTGCCTCTATGCGTTTCTGTTTCAAAATCCCGATTCCCAGGAGGCCGACTCTGACCGGCCCTGATGGGTTGCTGAGCAGTTTGGCCGGGGAGGGCAGGGTATGTCTATCACATGGACACGGTTGTGGAGCCCTCCCTGTGTATGCTGGCGTGCAGTTCTCAGAGAAGAAGGTTTTGGGGGCTGGGGAGTTAGTTCAGGCCATAGTGAGAAGAGCCCTGAGTTTGGGGCCAGGAGTTCAGCCTTGCCTGAACCTTTACAGGGACCTGGGCAAGTAGCTTGCTTTCCCCCAGTTCCCTGTGAACCTGTTTCCTCATCTATAAAACTGGGGAGTTGGGCTGAAAGACCACAGGGATCCCATGACATTCTGTCCATTCACATGTTCTCTTTTTCTGGAACTCACCACCCAGTAGCTAAACTTTTGAGACGTCCCCAGAAGGGTCTGAGAAATGTAAGCAGATTCTTAGAGTGATCAACTACCTGCCAAAGACTTAGCCCTCAGGGACCCAGCACGTTTCACTCTATGCTGCTCACAGATGACACTTATCCACGAATAGACCTCAAACGCTCAAATGCTAAGGATTTTCCTGTGGTATCAGGAGATTGTGAGAGAACAGGGTGCGTACCAGCTTGAGAAACAGGCGCTCTTTGTTTTGTCTTACTGACAGGTTCATCTCTGTTAACATAAAGGCATCCTTTCCTTAATTTTAACTGTCTCAAATTTGAGGGATGCTAACCACCCCCATTAAAGAGTCTTCGTACCTAATTGAGATCGTCCACTTAAGTGCCAATTATGACCTAAGGAATGCAATGGGAAATAGTTCATAAAGAAATTGTCTTCTTCCAGGATTTCCAGAACATACCAAGGGCCACAATTCTTCAACAAGGCTCAAACCAAGCCAGCATCTGGTTCTCTGTGATAACTTCATTACGTAATTCATGTGTAAAGGTAAACACAACAGTAGGTGTGAATGTTGCAGGACAGCTGTGTCTAGCACTCTGCTACTTCCTTTCTGGGCTTCAGTTTTTCCAGATGTACAATGATTGAGTTGGACTAGATACTTTCAAAGTCTGCACTCACAGCTTCAATGTTTACGACTTCCAAGACACACTGATTTTTCAAGGACACAGGCCAAGTTGAAAGAAATTAACATGGCCTCTTACTGCCGGCTCATGTGTGATAAAAGAGGAAATGTTTCCCTATTTCTGCTCCCACCTCTCGGCTTCTTGGTCCTTGGGGCAGAATGCGTACCAGCAGAGAGCAGAGGTTACCAATTTTCTTTCCAAAGACATCCTGAGATAAGATAAGCATCTTTCAAAAATCAGCACCTACACTTCTTGACTTCCTCCAATCCTCTATTGAAATTGCCTTTGGCAAAGTGTCATTGGCGATTGCCCAGCTGCCAGACCTAGAGGATGTTTTCCTTTCTTGGCCTACGCTGGAGCGTTTGACCCGCTGACCACCAGTGCCTCCAAACATTCTCCTCCTGTGGCACCTGTGATGCTACGCTTTTCTGGCTTCCTCAGCCCCTCGGAGGTTCTTTCTTAGCCTGCTGGTTGGTCCGGTTCTTCGCTCAACCGGGAAGTACTGGTGTCTTCCGGGGCTCAGGCCCAGACCCCTCCTCTGAGCTCTTCAAACTCTCACACGCTGCTTGGCTTCCACTGCCGCCTGTCTGCAGATGTCTCCCCGCCCTCTGGCTGCCGCTGGACCTTCCTCCCCACCACAGGGTTCTTGCCCTCAACGTGTGAGCTCGTCACCTTCACTCCCCGACCCCCACCCTCACTGCCCAGCCCTCTGCCTCCCACGTTCCCTCTCAGCAAAAAAGGCGCCCCAATTCACTGATACCCAAGCCAGAAACCGGGGAGCCGTCCTTGGCCCCTCTCCGTCCCTCGCCCTGTATATCCAAGCAGTCCCCAAGCCCCGGAAGCCCTAGACTGTCCGGACTCTGTCCCTCCTCTGCTTGCTGCCCCCCACCCCCGGGACGGGCTCTGTGTGAAGCGCTTCTCAGGGGTTATCTCACCCACAGGCGCCCTCGGCGGCGGCGGGTGTGACGGGAGAACTTGAACTTGAACTGAGCCATGTGTGACTCCAGAACCCACACTCGTAGCCACCGACTTGAATCTGGCGAGAACGGGAGGAATTTTTTTTTCTTTTCTTTTACTGTCACTTGAGTGTTAAAAAAACCACTACGAATGATTACTAACGGGTCAGAAAACCGACGTCAAATGGTTTACGTTCAGCAAAGAAAACAAAAGCCAGAAATCCTTTTCACGCGGTGGTGCGACAGGACGGCCCACTGGAAAGGCTTACCTACGAGCCCAGGAACCTCGCCTTCCTCTTTCCCAGGCTGGCAATCCCGAGACTAAGGTCTGAATGGATCTGAATGCCTGACCCCCTCAAGTAAGGGCACCTGTGACTTGTTTTCGCTCCCTTGTGCTGCAGCATGAGGCCCGATCAAGCCTTGCCTGAATTTCTCGTCGGGCCTTTTATCGACTTCTAGTGATTAAAGAGTCCAGGGCCCCGAGTCAGTAACCATGACCCCAGAAAACAGCAACCTGGCTCACCCGCTCCCCAACCCCTAACTTCCTAAGAGCTGGAGGGCCCTTGGGTCCTATCCCTCCTCTTTCATTTTGTTACTGACACAGGTTCTTGGACTCTTTAATCAACAGAAATCAAGAAGAAGCCAGATAAGAGACAGGCGAGGCTTTACTGGGATTAGCGCTGCAGCACGAGGGAGTGAAAGCTAGTAACAGGTGCCTTTGCTCGCTCCCCGAGGGGGCTCACGCTGCTTCCTTAAATGGGTAACAATGGGGGTGGGTCAGTGGGTTGGGACAGACGGCTGGCTTAGGTGGTCTGCCCAGCCCCCTTGGTGGTGCCCTGGGCAGGGATCATGCTCAGTACTCTGTTTTTGTTCCCGGCACCTCAGAAATAGCAGTTGGTTTGTGGCCTTTTTGTGCAGAGTTATTTTTAGTCCCTTCTAGTTTCTTTGTATTCTGTTGCTCGGGGAGATGTTTGCTCAGGTGCAATCACTCCACTAGAGGGTCTCAGGTCCCAGCCTGTCTCAATTTCACCCGAGAGAAAGAGGCCCAGAGAGACACCCACAGGTGTTGGGAAGGCTTACGGGGGTGGGGGTGGGGAGACTCCTGACCCAGGGCTGCTCTTCTCTCATCTAAGTTCCGTATGAACTGAACATGCATCCCGTGGACGAGCCAGGGGTCTAAGTCAGCAACCACCACATTGTTTTCTAGGGAAAAGGAATCTTGAGGGCCAGGAGAAGTGTTCGCCGGTCCTCTCCTGAGTAAGATGGGCATGGTCTGAGTAGGGGATCCAGCCCAACTTCTGAATTGACATAAATCTGAACTAAAATGTCTTGGACCCCTCCCCCAGGCCTGAAGTCCTGTGATAAGAATGGCCTGTGCTAACTCATGGAACTTAACCCTTGAACAACCACAGCACCACTAGCAGTAGCAGAATAGAGCTTTGCACCCAAATCTCAGGCCCCGAGCAGGCCTGGAACGCCAGCCAAGACTCTTTGGTGGGCTGACTGGAAGTTCTGCCCACCTGAAAGGAGAGTTCTGTGCTACGGTTTTATGACTCTGTTTAATGAGAATGGCTTACTGAGAATCCGACTTTCAGCAGACAGTGTCCGGATCGAGGTCCCCGGCCCACTTCCCGTGGTCATCCCCACCCCGTGGAGGGATGGACTTCCTCACACGCATACACAGCACTTCATCGATGTAGATGGTATTCTCCTTGACTTGGATCTCCTCCTGCAGGGCGAGCTGCCTGCCATTCAGGCCTCGCAGCTCTACTTGAGCTTGGGCTAACATTTCCTTTAATCTAGGAGAAGAGGAAGAACACTAGGGAATAACTTATGGCTCTACGTCACTATTTCAGGGGGAAACACGTATTCATATATTCAGCGCAGGATCCAAATTGAGGTGTCTTCCTCCTTTCTCCTCCTTAAGACAGAGATTTCAAATTGGCGGCCCCGGGCCATGTTCACAAGGCAGATAAACCCATGAACTGCCAACATTTAAAACTGTAGATTGTACCTAAACATCTGGAGTTGGACTTCAGGAAAATGTAAACATTGGGGTGCATTCCCTGCATGGCAGCAACTGGCGGGAGTTAGGAGAGACCGCCCTCTAGAAAAGAACCCCTCAAACGCGAAAGATGCAAAGGTCTTTAGGCCCGCCCGGGATCACCCACGATGACATTGCCTAACCCTGCTCACGGGCCAGGTTTAAATGGAGCCCCAGTAGCCCTGTGCCTACCTTGCGACGTTGTGGGTGATCTCATCAACCTCCTTGATCAGCCTGTGCTGTGCACCATCGTGACACAGCTCCACATTAGGCCGATGTGTCCTGGTCTCCAGGCGTGTATGAGCCACCTTGGCAGGTCCTTCTTGGTCAAGGATGGCTTTTTCAAGAACTGTGATATTTTTCTCCTGGGAGGCAATCTCTTCCATGACCTTACAAAAAGGATTAGAGGAGGTGAGGCCAGGGTGTGTTCCTCAAAACTCAACAGCAGACACTCGTAGGAGGTTAGGAAGAGGGGACCTCCGATACCTACCCGAGCAGGACCCCAGAAAGAGTCTGATTCCTCTTCACTACAGCAGTGATTGCTCATGGGCAACGTAACTCACCCAACCCTAGAACCTCACAGAGGGAACGGACACAGGTGGCCACTGTTGCCTTCCCAGATATGTGGATTCCCTCAGCAAAGGCTGAAGGCTGCCCATTTACCTTGGTATAAAGTACCTTTGTATCATGAGCGGAATGCTGCCTATTTCCTTACCAATCCACCCACTAGTACTGTAACTGAAGGTGGGGTCCGGCTGCTCGCCGCTCAAAAACCATTAAAGAGGCCAGGTTGGTGGAAAGGAAAGTTTGCTTTATTTTGAATGCCGGCAACCAGGGGGGCGGGCGGGGAGGGCAGACGCCTGTCCAAAGGCCAACTCCCCAGCACAACCGGACGATCAGTGGGCAAGAGCTTTTATAGACGGAGGGAGGGTGCTACATGCAGAAACAGCACAGTCACCTCTGACAGTCACCTTGGTATTGGTCATCGGTGGTCTGACCAGCGTCATCTTGATTGTTTTGAGCACAATTCATCTTCAGTTCCAGGGTCGGTTTGTTCCCATTTCCTTGAGACCAATTCTCAGAATTGCGGCAGCTTATGTCATGGCTACAGTCTGATCATCATGTTAACTTCTTCCATCTGCTGGGGGTTTCAGTACCTACAAGACAGCTCACAGGCTACGGCTCAGAATATTATCTACAGCCCTTGAGGAGGAACTAAAGGTCCTTGACTTTGCTTAATGACTAAACTATTATTATTTGGTCTCCTTTGACTGTTTTCCTTTGTTTCTGTATCTTCTCACTTCTCTGATTAAACTTATTCTTTGGCTCAAGTTTTTCCACAGATAGATGGCAGGCTGAGGACACAGGGGGAGGGGAGCAAGGACCATAGGGTCCTGCTCTGTTTCAGTACCAGTTCTGCCCCCTAGAAGCCTGAAGAAAGGGTGAGCAGTTTAATCCGAGTTTTGCTGGTTTCTTTGATGGTGGCTTTGTGCAAAGAAAAGATTCCTTTGAAGCTACTCGGGTTTTTAGATTAATATTTCCCTAGTTTAAAATTTTATTTCTTCCTTGTTTTTCTTTTTAAACTTCTCATCATGGGAATTTCCAAACATACATGAAGGTAGGTAGTATAATGAACCTCATGGACCCATCAATTTAAGCAATGATCAATACATGGCCAATCTCGTTTCATCTATAATGCCCTCTATGCACCCCTGCCATCAGCTTATTTATTTTAAAGGAACTCCCAGATATTATATCATTTCAGTCTAAAATACTTGAGTATGTGTTTCTAAGTTATAAGGACTCTTTTTTTTTCTTTTAACATAACGACAATACTTTTTATCACACACAAACGAAAGAAGGATTCTTTATTATTATCTAAAATCTAGTGTTCAAATTTCCCTCAGTATCCTTTTTTTTTTTTCGGTAAGAGTTGGTATGTTTAAATTAGAATTCGAATGAGGTCCACACATTACATCTGGTTTTCATAATGTTTCTTTTTTTTCTTTATAAATTTATTTGTTTTTATTTTTGGCTGTGTTGGGTCTTCACTGCTGTGCGCGGGCTTTCTCTAGTTGTGGCGAGTGGGGGCTACTCTTTGTTGCAGTGCGTGGACTTCTCATTGTTGTGACTTCTCTTGTTGCAGAGCACGGGCTCTAGGCGCGTGGGCTTCAGTAGTTGTGGCACACGGGCTCAGCAGTTGTGGCTCGCAGGATCAGTAGTTGTGGCGCATGGGCTTAGTTGCTCCACGGCATGTGGGATCTTCCTGGGCCAGGGCTCGAACCCGTGTTTTTTTTTTTATTTTTTTTTATTTTTTTTTTTTATTTTACTTTTTAAAGACATTTATTTATTTGTTTATTTATTTTTAGCTGTGGCACGTGCGATCTTCGTTGCGGCATGCGGGCTCATAGTTGCGGGATCTTAGTTGCAGCACGCGTGTGGGATCTAGTTCCCCGAGCAGGGATCGAACCCGGGCCTCCTCATCGGGAGTGCAGAGTCACACCCACTGGACCACCGGGGAAGTCCCTGGATGCTCGTTTTAGATGTTGCTGCCAAGGCCTCAGCCACACAGCTCCCAGCTCCTGCAGGATCTCCTCCGGCAGGACCGGGCTTCTCACAGGCCTCTGCAAAGCCCAGCTTCTTGCCTCGTCTCTTACGGTGGGGACCCTCCTCCCCGCTGCCTTCCTATCTCAGATTCATCTTTCAAGGCCTGGACTAAGTTCTTACTCCACCAGGAAGCCTCTTGACTAGTCTTTGGCTACGTTTATCATTATTACCATTATTGTTGTTGTTGTTCCTATTATTAGCTGCTGCAGCAGCCAATTTTGATTATCTATTATATTGATTATATGTATAAACTATGTAAATGTACGTATATATGTGTGTGTGTGTGTGTGTGTGTATAAAATCGGTATGTGCCAGGCATTGTTCTAGATATTTTATTTGGGTTGTCTAATTTTACCCTAACCAACTCTGGGAGGTGAGTACTGTTGCTGTCCCTATTTTATCAATGAGGAAACCAAGGAACAGGGAGCTTTTTTTTGTTTTGGCCATGCAGCGTGGCATGTGCATGCAGGATCTTAGTTCCCTGACCAGGGATTGAACCTGTGCCCCCTGCAGTGGAAGTGCGGAGTCTTAACCACTGGACTGCCAGGGAAGTCCCAGGAACAGGCAGCTTAAGTGTATTATAAATGTTTTAAATTTTCTGTACATTATGATGTTCTGACATCATAAAAAACCTTTCTGGCTGGGAGAAACTGCCCCTCCCTGGGCTCTTCGATACTTAGAGACGGCGAAGGACCAGCCTGAGCAGGCCTTGGATCTGCAAGCCCAGAGCTCTCCCTCCTCTCTCTGCCCTTTCAGCCCAGGAGGCCATCTTGCTCTGCCTCAGTCATCCCAGGGCCGGGTGCCAGGCACCTGGGGACCATTCCATAGCCCAGAGCCCACTGAGGTTATTCACACTAGCTGATCCTAAAGTGCTACCTTTGCCCTGCCTTGGGGGTCCTGAGGAAACCCCAATAAAGGCCGTGGCCTCCACCTTCCCCTTGCTCCTGTCATCTGCCGCCTGACCACCCTAGTGTGTTCTCCACGTGGCCCTGCGTGGGGAGCCCTGCCTCCTGTCTCTAGGACCTGTGAATACGATATAAACTTTGTTTTTTCCTGAGCCCCCTGTCTCCTTATGGCTACACTTGACTGACCATCTCATAAAAGAACACAAAACATTAAGTAGCCTCCCCAAGATCACACAGCAAGTGTGGAAGCCCCATTTCGAACCCAGGCTGTCTGGCTCCAGGCTGTACACGCTTACCCACAAGGCTCTTCTACCTGTCTTTTTGCGGACTATTGCAGTATAACTTTTGATGACATTCTGGTTTGCCCTGCTCATCACAGAGATAAATCTTTTCTGACAATTAGACTCTGGGCTCATGGAAGGCAAGGGAGGAATGCAGCAGAAGGACAAGGTTGTGGTAGTTGAGCAGGCCTGGGGCTGGAGCAGTGATGCACCTGCCACCTGGGGTCCCTTTCGCTCTCCATGGCTGCTTCACCATCAGTGAAAAGCAAGGAGCGGGCCAGCAGTGGCCACGTCGGGTAGCTGTAGCTGTCCCAGCGTTACAGGTGAGGCGGAAGGCTCAGAGAGCTTGAGGCGTCCGCTTAAGTCACTCAGCTGGTCTGTCGCAGGACTGGAATGTGGGCCCACAGATCCTCAGTCCAAATTCAGCCCTTGTTCCACTGGACTCTACCCAGTGTCCCTGAGCTTAGCCTGCGGATGGTCCCATATGCTCAGGATCCAGCGGTCCTTGCTGGTGAGGGACACGGGCTACAGCCGGCTTACTGGGCTCCAATTGTTAAGCATTCAGGAATTCTGCCAGACCTGTGTTAAATGGGTAACTTGAAACTGACCATGGTGGAAGAATTTACACCACAAAAATCTGCAAATTCTATACAGCAGGGGCTTTTTTCTCCTCTGGGAGCCAGTTACCAGCAAACGGCTGGATAACCAGACAACAAGCCAGAATCCCAAAGTTGCATCTGGGTTTGGAGAAATCGGTTGCACTCAACTCACGGAACTTCAGAGTCATAAAGGACGTATAAGGGACTTCCCTGGTGGTCCAGCGGGTAAGACTCTGCACTCCCAATGCAGGGGGCCCGGGTTCAATCCCTGGTCGGGGAACTAGATCCCACATGCATGCTACAATCAAAAGTCCGCGTGCTGCAGCTAAGTCCGCATGCTGCGACTAAAAGATCCTGCACGCCGCAACAAAGGTCCCGTCTGACGCAACTAAGACCTGGCGCAGCCAGAATAAGTAAATAAAAATCAATCTTTTTTTTTTTTAAAAAAAGAACGTATAAGAGCATACGGTGCATCTCTATGCTCCACAGAAGGACGAACTAAGGCCCAGAGAGGGGAGACAGCCTGTTCTTTGCAGCAATGAGTACGAGAGGCCCAGAGCGGGGCCAAGGCCCGCTCCAGTCCCCCAAAGCCCAAAGCCTGCTGCTAAGATGGAGAGAGCTGAGTGACCTCTACTCCTTAGTACACAGGATCACAAGTCCTGAAGGCCATTCTAGGTTTACAGGGTAAAACCTTCGGAAGGTGCTCTTCCATGGTCCCCCCAGGGAGCTCACCTTGGCCAGATGAGCAGCCAGCTTGTCCCTGGCGTCCTTGGTCTCCTTCAGCCCATTCTTGAATGCGGTGTCCACCACGTCACATTGCCTGCTTAGGTCGTTGGCCGTCTGGGACAAGGTTCGGTCCACGAGGGCCTTCAGCGTCAGAGAGTTGTTCCTCTGCTTGTCAGCCTTCTCCACGTTGGTGTTGGAGAAGTCCATCCAGTCTTCCAGACTCACAGAGCTGAAACAGGACCCATGCATTCGTTCATAGCATGTTTGGGCTGGGTGTGTGGGTATGGCGGTAGGACAAGCTACTAGAAACCCACAGGAAGTTAAGCCTCCCTCCACCATCAGAAGCACTTAGAACGTTTCCCCATCTCTAGGCAGAGCGAATGGTGGTCTGTCAGTGGCAATAACTGTCACTTTGGGGAAACCTACTTACTCTGTGCCAGGCTCTGGGCTGGCATTTTACAGACATCCTCTCATTTAATCCTCACGATGGCCTAGTGAGCTAACTTTCATACCCCCATTTGACAGATGAGGAAAACTGAGGCTCAGAAAGATGGAGTACCTTCGTCAAGATCACATAGGTAGAGACAATTTAAGTATCAAAGTAAATTATAATAGTAACAGATTATAACACACTGAATAAAATAGGAGAACATGAGTCCATACTGGAATGCTATAAAGAAATGAATAAATTGCTAGTTTGACAAGGAACTGCTTTATATAACACTTGAGGAATCTCAAATAATGTTGACTGGAAGGAAAGGGACACACGAGATACATAGTACATGATGCTATTTACTAAATGCAAAAGTAGGCACAAGAAACCTATTAGAAATCAGGAATGTGGTTCTCTTTGGGGAGCAGAAAGGAGGTATTCATCAAGAGGGGACAGGGTGGAGGTTTTGGTGTTGGTGGTAATGTTTTATTTCTTGGCCTGGTTGGTGGTTACATGGAGACTGTTTGCTGTGTGACTAGAGGCAGCCTCTGAGATGGTCCCCAGTGACCCCCTGTGTCTCCTGGTGTTCACACCTTTGTATAGTCCCCTCCCCTTGAGATGCGTGATGAACTCATTGACTCATCTCTCCTGAATAGACATAATGAGAGGTTATTTCTAGGATTAGGTTGAAAGAAAATTGTGGCTTCTATCTTGGCTGCCCTCTCTCTCTTGCTTCCTTTTGGATGACTCACTGTGGGAGAAGCCAGCTGCCACGTCCTGGCACAGCTCCATGGAGCAGCTCGGGTGGCAAGGCCTGTCATGACCACACGAGCCAGGTCAGAAGTGGATCCCCCTCACGGTTGTGCCTTCAGATGAGACTGCAGCCCCAGCAGACCCCTGGACTACAACCTCATAAAATGTGAGCCAGAGGCGCCCAGCTGAGCCGTGCCTGTGCTCCTGACCCACAGAAGCTGGGAGGTAACACACGTTTATTGTTTTTAAGCTGCTAAGTTTTGGGGTAACTTGTTATACAGCAAAAGAGAACTAAAACAATGATAAGTCGTTAAACTGTTTACTATTATTTGTGCATTTTTCTTTTCTTTCTTTTTTCTTGGCTGCACCGCATGGCTTGTGGGATCTTAGTTCCCCGACCAGGGATTGAACCCGGGCCCCGGCAGTGACAGTGCCAAGTCCTAACCACTGGACCACCAGGGAACTCTTGTGCAGTTTTCTATATGTATGTGTTACTTCAAAAAGAACGTTTTAAAGATTAGAATGAGTTAGGTCTGTGATGTAATGTTACTTGAAAAATGTAAGTTAGATGTTACAGAAAAGGTACATGGTACGATCCCATTTTTGTAAAGAAACAAAATTTATTGGTGTAGGTGAGTGTATACATATGTTTGTAAGAACATAGAGATAACACTGGTTATCTCAGGGGGTGTAATGATAGAAAGGAGTACACATGGGGAAATTAGTAACTTGCCCTTTCTACATTTTTAAATTCTTTTACTTGTTAAAAATGCAAATAGGTAAATGAATAAATTTGAAAGGTTTAAAGATTTTATATCAGGGACTTCCCTGGCGGTCCAGTGGTTAAGACTCTGCGCTTCCACTGCAGGGGGTGTGGGTTCAAACTCTGGTCGGGGAACTAAGATCCCCCATGCTGTACAGTATGGCCCCCCCCCACCCCCCAATTTTTTTTATATCAGACTTTCTTAAAGTGGGGGCAACCCGGAGGACCAAGGCGCCTGTGGGTCCTGTGTCAGGGTACTCACTGCTCAGTGCCCGCTTTTGCCCCAAGCCTGCCTCTTCCCAGCTCTCAGCCTGCATTCAGGATGATGTGCTAGGTCCTGCCTGCCTCTCTGAGAAGCACTACGATGACACGCAGCAGGGAGGAGGACAGCAGGGCCAGGCCAGCAGGGACCCACTCACTTTGCTTCAACCCTCCCGACGTTCTCAGAACATTTGATGTCTGGCGAGTTGTTGTTGAGTGAGAAGCAGATATCATCAATGGTCAGGGCTGTAAACTTGTCCCTCAAGTCCTTTTCAAGACTGTACTTGGCAGCGCGGTTCAGCCTGAAGGGAGAAGGTAAACTGGGTTTCTCCCTCTGGAATGCCGAGGTAGCACCTATACCAGGTTCTTGGGACACCATGGAAAATGAAGCCAGTCTAGTGCAATATGGTGACACTTCCTCCCACCTTCCCATCCCCCCAACACACACACACACACACACACACACACACACACCATTAGACACTTGGTGACAAATTAACATATCCAAGCCGGGACTTCAAGATCTTCCCTCCAGATGTGACATTTTCTGATGTCACCACTGTGGCATCCTGTTTGTGAGAGGTCAGCTCCAGTGTCCTCCAGTTTACAATCAGGGGTGAAATCTGGCCGCACCCCAACCCGCCACCAGAGGGTGACTGTCACGCATGAGAGGTTGTCTTGGTCTCATTCTGAGTGTTGCCGGGCCACCTTGGGGCATGGGAAGTGCTTGTAGGGTATTAAATCCCATTCTTTCTGGGCCATGGAGCACGGCCTTTTCTAGATAACGCCCAGTGGAGATGCGAGGGCAGGCCCTGCATGGCCATACCTGATCTGCTCGGACGTCTCCTCCAGGGTGCGGGTCAGCAGGGCCATCGCCCCCCGGATGATCTCCGCCTCCTTGATCAGCTCCTGCTCTACCTCATCGTGGACCAAGTCAATGCCAACTCGCTTCTCCCTGACCGAGAGAAAGGGGGATGGTCATCCCACGCGCGGAGGAAGGCAACTCAAAAGCTGCTGACTTTTAAAACTGTCTGGACAACTGGACCAGATCCATCCGGATGATGTGATGGGGGATGGACATTAGTTGGTGTCTATGCGACTTCAAAATATCCAAAACATAATGAGGAAAAATTAATCGGTGACTGGTTACTTGGTCTGAAGAATCCCAGCTGGACTTTGGGCCTCAATTTGGCCATCGGTTCTGAAGCCTTTTACTTTTTACCTGTTTATTGGAAACACTGTCTTCTGACTTAGAATTTTAAAGACATGTTTCCTTCCTTGATCCTCTGACAAGGATTGAATCCAAAAAGATGCTCTATAGTAACAATAGTAATAGTCATAATGATGCCAAAATTAATAGTACCCCCGCCACTGAGCACTTACTATGAGACAAGCATCGTGCTGAGCTTTTCATGCGGATGTTCCTTCTCACGTAACCTCTCAAGTACAGGTGAGGAAACTGAGTTTCAGAGAGATTACGTAACTCACCCCCTGTCACAGAACTAACTGGGCATCACTCATGTTTTTAACCACTTACTCCCAAAATTGATCAGTCACTGTCTGACAAGTTATTCGTTTCCACCTGCATGACAGTGCTAGGGAGGAAGTCTCCACTCACCAGCTGTGTGGCCTCAGGCACGCTGTATAACTTATCTGTGCCTTGGTTTCCTCATCTGTGAAATGGGCATAACTATTAGTACTTCCTAGGGTTGTGGCAAGGGACAAAGGAGATAAGAAAGCAGATGGCACTGTACCTTCCCCAGAGGAGCATGTACTCAATCCATGTATGTCCTCTACACCCTAGTTACCCTTAGGTGTAGACTTGAGCCAACTGGATGTTGGCCTCTTTGATCACCTGCTACTTCCCTTTGCCTCACAAACTCTCTAAATCTGGCTGGGAGGTTGCTGCCTGGTTGCTGCAGAGGGGGTCCTGGCTAAGCTCACTGAGGTAACAGGGTTTTCTGGGAAGGAGGAAGAGTATGGACAGAGTCACAGTGCATTTGGGAAGCTGCAAGCAGCTCAGCACCCCTAAGTACCTCCCACTGTTGGGGATGAGATATGGCCCTGGAGGGATCACTGGGGCCCCAACCATGATAGACCTTGTTTTTGAAGCTAAGAAGTTTGAATTTTATTTTGAAGGTACTAGGGCAAAGCATTGTAATGAAAGGATTTTAAGCATGGAGTGACCTGGAAAGATCTGCATTTGGGAGGGTTTGCTCAATAGCTAGTGGGGAGGATGCACTCGATTGGAGGGGGCTGTGCTGGCAGAAGGGTGCCCCACCTAGGGCTGTGACAGGCATCAGGTCTGCAAATCAGCATCACCCCAGAGCAGAAAGGATCGTCCTACTCATAGGACTTACAGGAGGGAACTTATAGTAAAAAGGTATGTTTGCACAGTGCTCTCTGGATTACAAAGTGCTTCCATGTGGCTCTGTGTATAGGAGCAGACTTGTCCTCTAGTAAGTGTACCTGCTCTGCCTGCCCAAAATAAAGACCACCATTTCCCAGTTTCTATTGGTGTGGCCATGTGACTAAGCTCTGGTCAACGGGATACAAGTAGAAATGGTGAATGCCAAACCCTTATTATTACTACTTGTTGGCATGTAGACGTAATGGCTGGAGCTCCAGCTGCCATTGTGAGTCACGAGGTAACCTTGGGAGTAAAAGCCACGCACATGGAGCAACAAGATAGTGGAGCAACACGATAGAAAAGGCCTGGAAGCCTGACACTGTGGCACACCATGCCAACTCTGAACTATCTCCAGACTCCTTAAATGTGAGAGAGAAAGAAATTATCTAAGTTCAATGTTATTTTGCCCTTTTCTGATTACCCACTGCCAAACCTAGTCCTAACTTATATTTAAGTTAGTCAAGAGCAGAGTTTAGACATGAGCCAAGTCCAGTGCTCCTCCCACTGCCCAGCACCCTGGGCATGCGAGATAATTTCAGGCTCTGAAGGAACACTTGCTCATTTGTCTCATTCTAACCCATCACCTAGCACAGTCAGCTTTTACCTCTTCGCAATTCATTGCTTACAACAGATGATTCATTAGAGGAAACTTCCCTCCTACCTGTATTCCAGACACTTCTCAGTGATGTGCAAGGGCTCTTTAAAGCTCTCCAGGGCTTTCTCCAATCTGGTCTGATAGATGAGTAGATCTTCGGTCGCGTGCACCAGCTGCTCAAGTTTGTCATCTAACTCCTTCTTCCAGAACCTGACTTCCTCAAGCCTCTGCTCTGAAGCACACAGAGAAGTCACACCAGGATTAATCTATTTCCAATGTAGCCAACTCTTAGATTAGAAACTTGAAGATTATTGTAAACCTACCCGAGATACTTTCTTTTCTTCTTAGGGTTGTGCTACTTGGGGCATTTTTACATCTCTGAGTTTATTAGAAAGAAAGAAGGAAGGAAGGAAGGAAGGAAGGAAGGAAGGAAGGAAGGGGGAGGGAGGGAGGGAGGGAGGGAGGGAGGGAAGGAAATAAGAATATATTTCTTCTTACATTCAACATCAAATTAACCCAAAGACCATTCTAATTCACCACTCTAATTCTTCAAAACCCACTGTTTTTAATAACTTTTAATTGTGTCAAAGACACATATATTGTTTGAAAAGTCAAATAGTTTTACAAGTATTACAATTCTCTGACCCATCCCTACCCACTCCCACTTTCTGGAAGCAACCTCTTTTTAAACACTTTTAGTATTTCTTCTGGCATTTGCTTACATTGCTATTTATTCATTATCAGTTTTAAGATTACCTATTGATTTCCTATGATGAAAGATAAGAGTTTGCTCTTATACGACCTATACAACACACTTCTGATCTTTCAATCTTCCCAATATAGCTGCGTCACCATGTTGTTAAATAATAATTTAATGTTTGTTTATATTATTGTAGGTATGTAAATATTATTTACACCCAAACCGTGATATCATGATACTATGATAAATTTACTTTCTTATACAACTTTTAAAAAATTTTTTATTGGAGTATAGTTGATTTACAATGTTGTGTTAGTTTCAGGTGTACAGCAACGTGAATCAGTTATACATATACATATATCCACTCCTTTTTTAGATTCTTTTCCCATATAGGCCATTACAGAGTACTGAGTAGAGTTCCCTGTGCTACACAGCAGGTTCTTATTAGTTATCTATTTTATATAAAGTAGTGTGTATATGTCAGTTCCAATCTCCCAATTTATCCCTCCCCCCGCTTATCCTCTGGTAACCATAAGTTTGTTTTCTACATCTGTGACTCTATTTCTGTTTTGTAACTAAGTTCATTTGTTAGATTCCACATATAAGTGATATCATATGATAATCTGTCTTTCTGTGTCTGACTTACTTCACTCAATATGACAATCTCTAGGCAACCATGTTGCTGCAAATGGCATTATTTCATTCTTTTTCATGGCTGAGTAATATTCCATTGTATATATATACCACATCTTCTTTATCCATTCATCTGTCAATGGACATTTAGGTTGCTTCCATGTCCTGGCTATTGTAAATAGTGCTGCAATGAACACTGGGATGCATATATCCTTTCAGATTATGGTTTTGTCCAGATATATCCCCAAGAATGGGATTGCTGGATCATATGGTAGTTCTATTTTTAGTTTTCTGAGGAACTTCCATATTGTTCTCCATAGTGGCTGTACCAATTTACACTCCTGCCAACAGTGTAGGAGGGTTTGGAACGCCTGTAGGTATTGAGCCTCCCAGATGGATCCTCTAATTTTGTCTTTTCTCTCCTGTTTTCTATCTAGCTCTTTGTCTTTTTTTTTCTACTTTCTGGAGATACTTCAACTCTATCTTTCAACCCTTCTTTTGACTGAAAAAAATATTCTGCTCTCATATTTTTAATTTCCAAGAACACTTTCTTGTTCTCTGAATGTTCTCTTTTTTAAGAGTCTTCTTGTTCCATAGATGCAATGTCTTTTCTAAATTCCCTGAGGATCTTATAGTGTTATTTTTTCTTTTGCTCTGTGTACTTTCCTTAGTTTTGTTTGTTTCAGTGTTTGCCATTTTAGAACCTTCCCTCACATGTTTGGTGATCCTCATCTGGTCATATTTGAGAATAAAATGCTAAAATACTAACTGGGAGCTCTGTCTGCAGGGACACGGCTTGTCAACCAGAATGCTTTATTGTCTAGTGTGATCAGGCCTACCGATAGGCTGGTATCAGCAGTAAGCATCAACCCATCAGGAGAAGCCTAACATTTAACCCTGCAGGCCTGAACGAAGTTTTGGTTTATTGGAGGTTGAAAACTAGCAGCCCTTAGACCAGGTTTTGTTTATAGATGTGTTTGTTCATCCTGCCCAGTGTTATAAATATATCAAATCAATTGCTAGCATTTAAAAAGTGGGTAAAATTCCAGCTTTTCTAAAAAAAAAAAAAAAAAAAAAAATCAGGGAACTCGGCAACACTGGGCCCATATTCTTTCTTGGGAAAAAAATGGGTTGAAATTGATGGAGCACATGTTCTCCAGGAACCCTCAGTCCCCACCACTCCCTATTGTCTTAGGGGTCTTATTCAAACCCTTATGTTACCTGCCCAACTCTGATAGACTGTTGAGTTTGTGGCCTCTGGTTTATCACTTTTTGGCATTTGGGACTTTTGTTTGTTTCATCTTATTTTTATTCTTGTTTTGCTTATTTAAGGGCACCACCTTTTACACCGTGTTCGTAGGAATGGGATTGTCAAGAGAGCATTACTCTTTCTTTAAGATTCAGCTCAGGGCTTCCCTGGTGGCACAGTGGTTGAGAATCTGCCTGCCAATGCAGGGGACATGGGTTCGAGCCCTGGCCTGGGAAGATCCCACATGCCGCGGAGCAACTAGGCCTGTGAGCCACAACTACTGAGCCTGCGCGTCTGGAGCCTGTGCTCCAAAACAAGAGAGGCCGCGACAGTGAGAGGCCCGCGCACCGCGATGAAGAGTGGCCCCCACTCGCCGCAACTAGAGAAAGCCCTCGCACAGAAATGAAGACCCAACACAGCCAAAAATAATAAATAAATTAAAAAAAAAAAAAAAGACTCAGCTCAAGTGTTCCTCTCTAGGAGGTCTTCCCCAATTCTCCAGGCAGACTCCGCCCTCACTTCTGTATCCCTTCCCCCAGCTCCTATCTAGTTATATTTTGATTATTCATTTTTCTATCTTTCTCCTCCTCAATCCAGGAGCCCCTCAAAAACTGAGGCTCTGATCATCCTCTGTGATATTCCCAGGGCTTAGTCCATAGATGCTCTTAGACACTCAACAGATATGTATCAAATCAGTAAAAGAATGGCTGATGAATGGCTGAAAATCAGACTGGATTACCATGTCTCTACCTTAGGGCAGTGAACTTAAAGACAGAGCCCAGAGAATACACATGTTTCTCCCTAATATTTCAAGATAATACGTTGCCATTCCTGAACATGAAATGCAAATGACAGTATCGCCATACCTCAACAGTATCATCCAAACATGTTCCCAAACATACCAAATATGTTATCTTACCTAGTTTCTTGTTCACATCGCTTTGAGATTTTCTTGTGGTCTTTTCAATTTCATTCACAAGCCTCTGGCTTTCTGCCACCAGGCGTTCGGACCGGGACCTTTGGGCCTCTGCTCTGTGGTATTGGTTCTTGTTAGCAATGTGCCACTCTGAGGGCAAGAACTTGGGTGGATGTTGTAGTAGTTTGGCCATTTGAGGTTTCTAAAGTCCTGATCAAAAGCAGAATTTTTTTTTTTTTAGATTCATTGAAAGCAAGTTGTCCTTTTTTTAATGTCAGTTTTTATTAAAGTGTGACATTCATACCAAAAGGTACATAAATCATAATCTGTACACAAAATGAAAACCTCTGTACAGCCAGCACCCAGATCAAGAAATAAGCATTACCAGCACCTTACGTCTCTTTCTGATCACTATTCTTCACCCCCTCCCCCCAACAGTAACCACTATTCCAACTTTTAACACTGTAAATTAGCTTTGGTATTTTTGAACTTAATATAAATGGAATCACTATGTACTCTTTCATATCTGACTTCTTTTTGCTCAGCCTTATGCTTGTAAGACTTATCAGTATTGTTCAGATACTTGTAGTTTGTTCATTCTCATTCCTGTGTAATATACCATTGCATGATTATACCAAAATTTGTCTCTCTTTTCTACTGTTTATGGATATTTGGGTTTCCAGTTTGGTGCTATTATGAGAATGCTATGAATATTCTCATTTAGAGACAATGTGTTTTTTGGTGAACATATGCTCGCATTTTTATAATACATTAGAATTGCTGGGTCATAAGGCAGTGTTCAGTTTTAGTAGGTATTGCCAAACAGATGAACCCAGACATGTTTTCTTAAAAAAAAAAAAAAGAACAACTGTGACATCTGTAAACTGACAGCTGGGTATTGAGCCTGTTCAGCAGATGAAAGAGACAAAACCTTCCCAGGACAAAGAAAAGGAGAGAACAAGAAGAGGAACACATGAGGAGGCAGCAGGCAGAGACCAGCAGCAGCAGAAAGACCAACATTTCCCCACCTCATCTGCACACAGCTCTGACTGTGAGAACTGCCGTCCTCAGACAGGGCTAAAAACTGCCCCCACCAACATCTCACCCAAAATATATATCTGACCGCCTGCTCTTAAAGGCTTCTGGATCTCTGAAGTCCTTCAAACATACAAGGAGCGACCCGGAGTCAGAGCTTGACCAGGCTGAGCCCCAGGCCACCCGGCTCCCTCTGACAACATGGGGTCTCCTAGTCCAGTCCCTCCTATGGCTTCGGCCAAGTGTGAGTGTGGGGCTCAAAACTTAACCCAAGATTTCTGGATAAGTCTGAGTAGCTCTCAGAGAAATCTAAATTAGGGCTGAGGTCGAAATTAAACCTAAATTCGGGCTGATACCAATGGGCACAAGGCATTGGGTAGGTCTGTGCGCTGCAGTTAAGGGTTGGTGGTGTGGGGCCGGGGCTTACCCTCAGCGCCACAAAAAACCACTACACAACTTCGGGATAGCAGCCTCCTTACCCCAACCGGAGCTCCGGGTTCTTGCAGAACTGGGCTGTAAACAGCGCAGTCTCCATGGCAACCGGAGACGCGTCTCCAGGGCAAAAGGGGCGGGGTCTGCCGCGAACCTGCTTTTTCCTCAGAAGGCTCTGCGCAGGCGCGAGTTCTGTGTTTACCCCCAGCGCCGGGGACAAGGGGATGTGGCCTGGGAGCGCTCAGGCCAGATGCTCGGCTATCTCAACCTACCACGAAGACGCGGGACACCAAGCTGGGAGTCAGGAGACCTGCAACTGGCCTTGGTCCTGCTGCGGGCTGGGCCACCTCGGGCCGCACTGCTCTCACTGGGTCTCGGACTCCCCAGGTGTACAGCGATGTTGGGCTGGACGATGGCTTCAGGTCCTCGCAGCCGCAGGCCGTCCTGGGACCACTAAGCCACAAGCCCGGCGCTGCATGGAGTTAGCCACGAGAGATTCCTGGGGTTGCCCGGGCCGCGAGGAATTAATAGGAGGAGATAGGAGGCGGGGCCGGGTCTCGCATCCTGGGCCCGCCCCTCAGCTTCCGGCCGGGGGCGGTGGCCGAACTCAGGCTAGGAGTCAGGAGTAATTTCTCCATCTAGAAAATGAGCGGATTGGAGCTCTCAAACTAAGAGTACAGTGCTCGGAATATGTTCTTTATGGTTGTAGTGCTGGTAAAAAAAAAAAAAAAAAGCACTTCCGCACAGCCTGGAACACAGAAAATGGGTATTCAAATCTCCCTCCCTATGCCAAACTTGCAGCTCCACCTTTCACACCCCACAATCGAAGGCAACCTCCAAGAACAACCAATCAGAGGAGGCTTTGCCTCGTGGAGCCCGACCCCCTAACATCTCTTGATTCTTTTGTTAGCGTCCTGAAAGCCCACGAGGCGTCATGAATATTAAACAGGCCGCCTGTCCAGTGGCGGCTGGAGGAGCTCGTGTTGCATATTCATATTCCCCATCCCTCAGAGAAGGGGCTATTTAAGGAGCGAAGTGGCCTCGCCCGCCACCCGCACACCAGCGGGAGAGTCGCCAGTCTTGGCTACCAATGGGTATTCAGGGCGTGGAGCCCGGGTTTCCCACTAAGGGAAGGCGAGCCGGCGGGAATGGGCCAGAGTCCCGGCCCCAGCAATGCATTCCAAGGACACCTGAAGAAGGTGGTCTGGCTCCTGAGCGTGCCGGGCAGCTGGGCCTCGGGGGAGGTGCTCGCTGGTGGGCGTCCTCTCCTACTTAGGCGAGAAGAAGGGGCGGCATCCTGATGGAGCAACCCTGAATGACCCCTGTGGTTACCTTTGGAGGCCCCGACCCTGGCGTCCCCGCACCTCAGGTTACAGAAGGGGAAATTTCTTGGACCTGTTGGGAACATGATACAATTGGCCAAAGTACATGAAATTAGCTATATGAATTATGATCATAGGTCGCCATTGTATTTTGCATCCGTATACAAATTTAATCCTCTCCCCCTTCCCCACGGCATGGAGAGGGGATAGAAAAACCTTGAGACCCTCACCGAAGAACTAATGCTTGTAGTTGAGTCCAGCCAGCTGGACTCTCTTCTGCTGGTTTTGCTCTCTGAAAGGCCTAAATTCGGATGCTGTTGCATCTCTTGATATACTTAAAAAAAAAAAAAAAAAAAAAGCACTCTGCAACTATTTATTCTGGCGTTTAAGTGTAATTGCAAGTATTTGAAAATATTTTCAAAAGTAAAATCTTATCTTGCACCCACACAGGCCAGCAAAGGAATGAATCCAATAGAGGAAGTATCGAACAGCTTATTATCAATAATAACTCAGTGTGTATCTGGCATCAGTATATGGGTAGCGAATAATATTAGAATGTAAAGCAGTGCAAAGCTTAGAATTTGCTAAATTAAGAAGTGTACAACCAAAGTTTATATTCAAAGTAGGAATACTCAGGCAAAGTGCATTGAAGTTTTAAGTGGTTTTGAGACTTTTGTTGGTTGGAACAAAACTACGTTTCCCAAACTGCGTTGTTTCCTGCAGAGGTGGTGTAGGTCTGTTTCCCCAACCCGCCTCCTACTGGGTGAGAGGCCTGAGTGGGCAACTCTGAGTGCAGGTGTGGGAAAGAGGCCTTCAGCAAAACACTCCAGGTCACTGGGAGATGGAAAATACAGGAGGAAAATTAAGCCTGAGAGGATAGACTCAGGAGATTTAATATTTGTCAAGTGGAACTTCCAGAGGGGGAAAAATAGAGAATAGAAGATGAAGGAAAGAGAGAGAAAATGTCCTTGAGTTAAAGACTCAAGTCTTTATTTATTTACCTTAATTAATTAAAAATTTACACAATTTTGATGGGCTTCCCTGGTGGCGCAGTGGTTGAGAGTCCGCCTGCTGATGCAGGGGACACGGGTTCGTGCCCCAGTCTGGGAAGATCCTACATGCCGCGGAGCAGCTGGGCCCGTGAGCCATGGCCGCTGAGCCTGCGCGTCCGGAGCCTGTGCTCTGCAACGGGAGAGGCCACAGGAGTGAGAGGCCCGCGTACCGCAAAAAAAAAAAAATCAGGTATTATTAACTTCTTGTTTAACTTTCCTACAGTGCTACCATGACCCTTGAACTGACCCATGACCCTAGCGGCAGGACTAGGACTAACTCTTACTCTGCCCAGAGTGCCTAGCCTCACTGCACATATAGTGTGTGCCCAATTAATGCATACTGAATGAATGTGCTCTAGTCAGTTGAACTGTCCAGCCATTATGAGAGTGAGCAGCATTGACATAAGAATGCAGCTCTCCTAAGTGGAAAGGAGATGTCTGAGAACACCCTGTTGCCTAAATTAATATCAGGAAACAAGCTACTCAGTAAAAGAACTCAATGTGCCAGCTCTGATTTATGTTACCCAATCACTGCTTGCTTACTTCTTATTAAGTACCATTTTATTCTATATAGGAAAAGCTATGGAAAACAGATTCTCTTTTTATGCTTGCTTTTGTTCTCCTACCAAGAGTCAATTTAATTATAAAGATGTGAAAAAGATTATGATACATTTATGGATCCCAATCATTAAAAAGCTAAAATACTTTAAGACCTTAGAAAGCATACAATTTGAGTGTAATTTAAAGAAATTGCCCCTCATGATTACCTATCTGGGGCTTGTGAAAATCAGCAAAGGATGCTATTGCATTGATCTTTGTCCCATACTCCTCTTATTTTGATGTACGTTTCAGATAGCTTAGATACATCTTAAGAGTTCTATTCCTTCAAACTTTTAAAGTATTCAGTGTATACAGTACTAGAGTTTCTACTCACCTTGATTCCATTTTGCATGAAAGAATTTTGGAAAGCAACTTTGGTAGTTTTTAAGCCTATAGGTTTACTTTTGAATTTTTGAGTTATCCTTTAAGAGAATCTGATTCTTGGAACTCCAAGGAACTTGAACAATTATCTGGTCCAATCTGATGCTGAAATATCCTCTATAGCAGATATAGAGGATGCCAAATCATTGTCCAGTGCTTGAACTCTCCCAGTGATGGGGAACTCATCATCTTTCAAGGCAGTCCTTCTTTGGATGCAGCTGTTCAATTTTCCCAACACCATTTATTGAAGAGACTGCCCTTTCCCCATTGTATATTCTTGGCTCCTTTGTCATATGTGCGAGTTTACTTCTTGGCTCTCTTCTTTTCACTGATCCATGTCTCTGTTTTTATTCCAATACCACATTCTGTTTGATTACTGTAGCTTTGTAATATAGTTTGAAATCAGGGAATGTGATACCTCCAGCTTTATTCTTCTTTCTCAAGATTGTTTTAGCTATTTGGGAGCTTTTATGGTTCCATAAAAGTTTTTGGATTGTTTGTTGTACTTCTGTGAAAAAATGCCTTTGGAATTTTGATAGGGATTGCACTGAATCTGTATATTGCTTTGGGTAGCACAGACATTTTAACAATATTAATTCTTCCAACCCATGAGCATGGAATATCTTTTCATTTATTTGTGTCTTCTTCAATTTCTTTCATTAATGTCTTGTAGTTTTCAATATACACATCTTTCACCTCCTTGGTTAAATTTATTTCTAGGTATTTTATTCTTTTTGATGCAATTGTAAATGGGACTGTTTTCTTAACTTCTCTTTCTGATAGTTCATTATTAGTGTATAATAATATAAGGAACACAACAGGTTTTTGTGTATTGATTTTGTATACTACAACTTAATAATGTTATGTAATGACTATTTCTTTTTTCAGTTTTAATATCTTTTATCAAAGTATAGTTGATTTATACTGTGTTAATTTCTGCTGTACAGCAAAGTGACTCAATTATACATATATATACATTCTTTTCTAATATTCTTTTCCATTATGGTTTGTCATAGAATATTGAATATAGTTCTCTGTGCTGTACAGTAGGACCTTGTTGTTCATTCTATATATAAAAGCTTCCATCTGCTAACCCCAAACTCCCCCTCCATCCCTCCCTCAAACCCTTCCTCCTTGGCAACCACCAGGCTGTTCTCTACGTATAATGACTATTTCCTCATGTTCTATTTAAAAGTACAGTTCAGGACGCGAAACATATGTTTATTGTTTATAAATACCTATCTACTAGCATTTACGTGGGCCAAGCGAAATCTGATTGAGCCAAACCCTGGAAAATGTAATTATACTTATCGTTTTACTATATTGTCATGGCTTCGTGCTCCTGATAATTTTAATGGTATCTGCTATTGAATCTTGGCAGGCGCCATTGAGTATTTCTCAGAATGTGGGCAACTCTCCAATAATCTGCATCAGAACCCCCCAGGAATGCTTGTTAAAGTATGGATTCTCAGTCCCCAGCCCAGACCTGCTGGATCAGAACTTAAGTTTAAGAAACGCTGCACCTTTGTGGGGCCTGCTGTGTCCTACCAGTGGTCTTCCCTTGGGTTTCACTTTTCCACAGGAAACAGAACATAAACCTCAAATTGTCTTTGCACTTGGACCCGTTCCCTTTGTTGATCTGATACAAGAATAGCTTTCTGTGCTGCAACAGTGAGCTTGTTGAATAGATCCCTTGTATTTTAGGAGAGGAAATTTAGTGCTTCATTGCTCACCATCCCTACTGGCCCGGGTAACTCTAAGGATAAACTAGCTTGGGTTTCACCCTGGAGGATTAACATTTCATAGAGCACACAAAGCCCCATGAAAGTCAAGATGAGGCAGAGCAAAGTGTGCACTGGCTTCTTTGTGTGGTTGGTTTCTTGTCTTTAGCCATTTGTCAGGCACAGCAGCTGAAGGTGCTGAATTGGATGAGGTAGTAAATTCAAGAGTCAAACCAGCTGCCAGATGCTCCCTGGAGGCTTCCTGGAGGGTGCAGCAAAGGCTGCTAACCCACCTCCTGCCCTTTTCGCAATTATCTCCACACCTGGGATTGCAGGAAAGAAAAAAATGTTTCCTCTGCTCTCTTATATTCAGTATCTTGGTACGTGCAAACTAAACTGACAAAGTTTAGCAGAAGAAAAGGCATACGATTTTTATTGATGTTA